CCACAAGCACCCATGTTCATGGACCTTGGTATCCGACATGTGCCAGCCTCTAAGACCTCTCATGGTACATCTCTGACACACTTACAGGATGCTTCTGCATTTCAGTGCTGCACCTCTTACTGCACTGACCACAATCATTGCAATGCTGCAGTAAGGACTGTGTGTTCTTAGGGGCACACTCCCAGCTCACAGGCTGGACCAGACCACAGCTCTGGGCTTTTCACTCACTGTCATAACGATCACTCACTTTAACCCTCACTGGGTTTCCAGCTCTCTTGTGCTTTGCCCAGTCAGCCAGGTTCATGTTGTTTCTGCCTTGCCTTGCCATGGGAAGGCAGGAAGCTTGTCATGGCCATCAGCAGGTCTCATTAATGTGGATACTCTTTAGTCAGGGGGTCCCAGCACTGGGGCTTGGAAATAGGGCAGAATTTCTTCCTGGAATGAGAGAGTGCTGGGCTTTAAGGGAGATGAGTGGCATAGCTGTTACTGTTGGTATTAGCTGGTGAGGTGCTCCGAGCGAGTGAGTAGGCAGCACAGAGGGCATACAGGGTTTGTGTTGTTGGGATTGGGCTGGGATGCAGTGAGTGAGGCAAGATGCTGCAGGTAATGAGAGTGGTGGAGCATGAGCTTTGGTGGGAGGTGAGTACCGTAGCAGGGAGAGTGAAGTCTCACCCCTGCACCTACCTCATTTAGCAGGAGTTCCAGGTCTCTGCCCGGAAAGTAGCTCAATGATTCCCCCCTCTCTGCCATGTCTGGGTCAAACATTGGGAATCCTGTGGGGCAACTGTTACATTATTTTACAAACTGGAATATATCTTCCTCATAAAGTGAACATCTGCATTCACTCACAGGGCTGTAACAGTTTCCTGGGGTGGGATTCCCCTTAAAATGGAAAACAGCTGTACATGTCTAAAAATCTCCCTGGGCAGCATCAGTAAACAAGCTTCTTCTAATCTTGACCGCCTATTCCCCTCCCTAAGAGCTACCCTGTGGAAAATTACAAGTCTTTCAACATAAATTTTCAGATTCTCATTAAATTTCTGCCCCTAATTTGTAACCAATTTCACTTACATGACCATTAATATTTCTCCTGCAACTGCAGAAGCTACAAAAACAAAACCCTCCAACCATCCATTTAAGTGGGACCATTTTACAGAGTACCTGCTCCTTCCACTAGAACATCAGATGGGAATCTATCGATGTTGGGACCCTGATTCTTTTCCTTGTGTAATAGACCTACTTTTAACCAACATTTAATGCCAATCTGTAGGCCCAGATTGAAAGAGCAGTGAGTGGAAATGACCAGAAGAACAGGGCGGACAGTTCTGCTCTGATTTTGAGCTGTCTCTGCTCCCCTGCCCCAAACCAAAAGTCAGAATCAAAATGGTTGCCAATGTTTTCATTTTTCAGTTTGTGCTTCCAGAAGACATTTATTTCCCCTGTATTTTATAAGCCTGCATAATGCTGAAAAATATTTTAGAACAATATAGGCTATAAATAGAGTGTGGTAATAATAGGGTTCCACTGTGTATCTCAAGTAACTTGCTGCCATTTTGTGGCTTCTTCTGCTGATTACATCTTGATTACAGTTTCAATGCAGGCATAGTCCTCTCTGTGAAAAATATGTGTACAGATTTGAAGACTGAGGCCACTTGTAAAGAGCAAATGTAATTAGTTTTGGCTACATTCTATGCTAGATTCCCCAAATCAAAAATATAAGCTGTAGCTTTGCGCTCAATTTAAAAATATAAATATTAATTTGCTGCAATGTACTATTTTTCATCCTTCTGCAGTGCTAATTCTCTGCTGCCCCCTTGTGTTCCTTTTGACTTTAGTTAATTGCAGCATTTTGTGGTGCAGTGTTAGTGTTCCTTGCTCAGGACCAAAATGTCCATGTTCATGTCCCACCACCCTGCAGGTTCATAATATGTCTAAATGTGTTGATTAAAACATAATAAGTTAACGAAGAAAGCCCTAGTGATCAGTCCAGTCTATCCCATGTGGTTCTCCTTTCTTTATCCAGAGCCATGTAATCTCCTTAGAGAGATGACAAAACAGGTAATTACCAAACAATTTTGAAGAATAAATCTGAATAATATCCCCCTTACCCCTTCAAGCAATCCTCATGATCCCAGGAGACGATCTTATGGTCATAATTAATTTTACCTATATTTCATGTAAGGAATGTGCTCTGCCCAGGGTTGCAAACAGGTGCAGCTCCTGCTCGAAGGAATTCTGTAAATTGGAATGCATTGCTCCAGCTGACAACCTGTACCACTGTTGTTGATCTGACGGAGTCAAAATCAAACCCACAGCCCAGGACTGATGGTCTGTTTATTCATACTTTTGGTATCCCAATTCAGGCCTGCTTCAGTAAAGATCTTGGTTTTCACAAGAAGTAACTGAAATCTGCAATAGGATCAGAAACCTCAATACAGCATCCAAAAGAAAGTTAGCTTGCAGATTGTTATTCATACTTTATCTTCCACTGCTGTTAGATCTAGGAATTTGCAACCAGGTATTACATTTCTTGAGGCAAGGTCCCCAGCACGAAGCCTTTCTTGAAAAGAGTACAATGGACCAAAGTAGGCCATTCAGCCCTTAGATTCTGCCCTGCCCTTCTGGATCACATTGACCATTTACCTCAATGCTGTATGCTATCTCTATACCCCTTGATGTCATCAGTAACTAGAAGTCTATCAATCTTTGCTCTTGGATGTAAAGAGCTTTCATAGCCCGTTGGGGTAGAGAATTCTAAAGATTTACTTCTAATACAAATGGTTTTCTTTTCAGTTTACCTGTTCAACTCTTGCCTGTCTAAATCTTCTTGAAGCCTCAGTAGACCCTCCTTAACTCATTCCTACCAAGTTTTGTATCGTGCGCAAACTTGCAAAAATTACGTTTGGTGCCCACATCCCAATATTTTCTAATCAATCCATTTGGGTCCCTATGTCCGAATCATTGATGTGAATTATGAACAGCTGGGACTGATCTTTGTGGTATTTGACTAGTCGCAGCCTGTCAACCTAAGAATGATCCATTTATTTCTCCTCTTTGCTTTCTGCCTGTTGACTAATCTTCAATCCATGCTAATATTCTACTGCCAGCCCAATGCACTTTGATGTTGTTTACCAACCTCCCGTGTGAGGCTTTAACAAAAATCCAGAAATCCAAAAACACATTCACTGGTTTCCCCTTATCCACTCTGTTCAAACAAACTATATTGGGTTTGTCAAACATGATTTTCCCTTCATAAATCCTGTTGACGCATCCCACACAGGCGATTATTACTAAATATCCAGTAATCATATTACTTATAATAGATTCTAGTATCTTATCTACTTCTGACATTAAGCTAACAGTTCTGCAGGTCTGCATTTTCTCTCTTCTTCCTTTCTTAAACAGTGCGGAGGCACTGTTGCAGAATTAACAGAATTTTGAAAGATGATCATGAATGCATCTGCAACTCTCCAGCCATTTCTTTCAACACTCTAGTGTGAAAAATGTCAGGTTGTGGGGATTGTCCACTTTTAACATCTCTGGTGCTACTTTTTTTACCGATACTCATTTCCCTCAGATGCACACTCTCCCTAGACTCTTGAATCTTAATTATTTTGGGAGATTTCTGTGTCTTCTGTGTATTTATTTAGCTTCTCTGCCATTCTCTATTTCCTATCATGAATTCGCCTGCCTCTTCCTCTATATCTCTCTTTGCTCATACTTTTCATTTTACTTACCTATAGAAGCGTTTTCAATCCATTTTTATGTTTCTTGCTACTTTATACTGTATTCAGATTCTATTCACTTATATTTTATCTCCATTACTGCCTTCCTGGTCTTTCTACATTGCTATGAAGAGACCCATTCAATCTCTGCCTGAATGCTCTTAATCTGCAGTGTGACCACTTTGTTGAATGCTCTAATCACATGTCCCTGTTTTGTGTATGAGTCGCAGTGACTCTGACCTCCATGCAAGTTTCAAAATCCAGATCTCAATGATTGGAAGCTTGAGATTGCCTGGGCCATGTGAAATGTACATGGCTCCCCACATGGCACAGCATGGGCATTCCATGCATCTGAACTATCCTGCCATGCCTTAAGAAATTCACTAATTCTTCATATACAGCAATTACTAAACCCATGACAGTTTCCATCTGGGAGAACAAGGGCAGCAGATACAAGGGAACACCACTAACTGCCAAGTTCTCCATCGAGACACTCACCATCCTGACTTGGAAATATGTTGCAACCCCTTCAGTGTCACTGGGTCAAATTCCTAGAACTCCCTTCATAACAGCATTTTGGGTGTTCCTCCTCAAAATTGAACCTGGGTCACCAGAACATTACGTGGATGTCTGGATTACTAGTCCAGTGACAATACCACTGGGTCATCATGGACATAAGTGGTTTGCAGAGGTTCAAGAAGGCAGTTCACCACAACCTTTCCAACAGCAATTAAAGATGGGCAATAAGTGCTCCACCAACCAGCAAAATACACATTATATGAATGAATAAATGAAAACTTACTTCAGGCTAATTACTGTAATCTGGAGGCTACTAAGTAGAAAGTATTAATTGCATAATCAGGTGCCGGTATTTATGCATTTAATTCTTTGTGCTATTCATCTTAAATCATAAATTTTACTTTGCGGAAGTGAGGAAGTGACACTAGCTGGAAACCTTGGCCTTCATATTTAACTCACGTTCATGTAGATTTGATAGTTAATTTTAAATTAACTTACTACGATTGATAGTAGAATTTTCAAATATTTAATTGAGAGGGTTTGATTTCGCTATGTACACTTTGGATGCTTTCTATGAAATCCTCTTGGAACATTAGGATCTTTGTTTGGCCTTTGTACATAAGCTTCTTATAATGTTTGATGTGGTAATTAATTTCACCAATCAGTAATACATTAAATGGTCAACTTATGTAGACAGCCCTTCGCAAATGTTTTTGAGCTAAACCAATTCATTTTTAATTTTATTTCTATTTTCAGGGAAAATCTTATCCTTTCAAGGCTCCTCTTCCATCTATGTGGAATCCATTTGTGTACCTGGATTACAACAACTTGTGGAGAACGCTGGATGACATGGGAAAGGAGGTAGAGTAATTTTAAAGGTCTTTATTAAATATTTAGCAAACAAAGTCCTGTTATTTTGAGAATTATCCTGGTGATAAAGCTTACATATAATAATGTACAGCTTTCTGTTCCTTTCTGAACACAAACAATAATGGGGACTGTTTCCTACAATTCCGGCATTGAAGGTAATTGAATATTGAATTAGAATGAAAGAGATTGGAAAAGTGAATGCATGGCTGAAAGACTGCTATTGGAGAAGTGAGTTTTGGTTCATGGGGGATTGACATCATTGGAGGAAAGCTGGATCTGTACCTTTGGGATCATCTACACTCAAACGTTGGGAGCTGCATAACTAGAGAAGTAGAGAAGACTTTACTTCAGCTCTGATGAAAAGTCATCAAGACTCGAAATATTAGCTTGCTGACTTTCCATGAATGCTGTCTGACCTTTTGTGATCTCCAGCATTTGTTGTTTTCAGTACAGATTCCAACATCTGCAATAATTTGTTCCTAGACTTTAAACTAAACAAGGAGTTGAGGGATCAAGCTTGAATAAATGTCAGAAAACAAGGGATACAGTCAAAGCAGGTGAGCAAGAGTGTGTAAGTTCGGGGTGGTGTGTAAGTTAGGTGGATTAGAATGGAAAGTGAAGGTTAGAGAATGGCAATAAGGGACAGAAGAAAAGCCTTAAAAAATAGACCTGACTGCTGGTATATCTGCTAAAAAGATACCAAAATAAAACAACTAAAGGCTCAATAACTAAATGTGCATAGCATTCACAACAAAGTAAATGAACTAATAATACACCTCAGTGACTAAATATGATCTGATGGTTACATGGAGCCATGGCTGTAGAATCACAAAAATAGAGCCCTATATGTTGAGCGATATATGATATTCCAGAAGAGTAGGAAGTTAGCACATGGCAGAGGGGTGGCACTCATAATCAAAAATAGTATTGGTGCAATAATTAAATACGGCTTTGATTCAGGAGATCAGGATTTGGTTGGAATCAGGAATAGTTGAGAAAAGAAATCACTAGTGGGAGTGGTCCACAGGGTCCTGAACAGTAACCACAATATAGTGAAAAGTGTACAAGAAGAAATTTTGTGCGCTGTGATAATCTACAGCAATAATCATGTGTGATTTTAATCTACATATATGCTGGAAAAATCAGATCAATGCTAGTAGCAGTAGTCTCAATGAGGAGTTCATAGATTAATTTCAGGATCGTTTCTTAGAGAGTGCACTCTGGAACCAACCAGAGAGTAGGCTATCCTCTAGGTAATACAACCATAACATGATTTGAACTATGCATTCTGTATCAAAAGAATAGTGAGTCCAAGACTAGTATTTTAAACTTAAATAGAGTAACTTGGGGAATATGAATGTGAACTGGGATCTTAGGCTTGGAAATGGATCAGTAGTGATGCAGTGCCAGGCATTTAGGGGATATTTCAGAATATTATGAATAAGTACATTCCTACTATAAGTAAAAATCTAAGGGGTGAGCCCACCATCTGTTCTTAACTAAAGAAGAGAAGGAAAGCATTAAACTTTAGCAAGGTCCTTTTCCTTAAGGTCGGGGAGTTCAAAGCTAGGGGCATATTTTTAAAGTGAGAGCAGAAAGATTCAAAATGGACATGAGGGGCAACTTTTTTTATACACAGTAGTTTGTATGTGAAATGGACTGCCAGAGGAAGCAATGATGCAGGTCCAGTTACAACATTTTAAAGATGTTTGAATAAGTTCATGAATAGCAAAGATTTGAAGGAATATGGGCCAAACACAGGCAAGTAGGACTAGCTTGGTTTGGGAGCATTGTCGGCATGGACTAGTTGGACTGAAAAGTCTGTTTCTATGCTGTGTGACTCTATGACTTAGGAAATATATAACTGTGCAAAGCTGAATGACAGGTCAGATGCCTCATCAGAATACAAAGAATGACAAAGAATCATGAAAAGATTAATAAGGAGAAATAAATTAGAGCATGAAATGTATAAACACATCAAGTTGTCTAAAAGCATTCCTGAAAAGGTAAAGAATAAATAAAGCGTGTGTTTGTGTCTAGAGGATGAGAATGGGGAGGTATAAGTCGATAACAAGATTTAATGAATGGAAAGAAATATTTCCTTCTGTCTTTACTATTGGTGACACAAATCATCCCAGTCATCCCTGAAAATCAGGGGGTTGAAAGAGGAGATAAACTTGGTGAGGTTATAATCACTATGAAGTGATATTGAATAAACTGATGGCTTAGCTAACAGTGATTACTGAGTCAGTGAATGTTCTATAATAATATTGTACAGGTATAATATAAGAGATAGATAACGCTTCGCTAACAAAAATCTGTCAAAGGTTAGCAGGGCTTTGTGAAAATGTGAAATTCGGAATACAACCAGACCAACCACAATCTTATTGAATAGTAAACTGGGCTTGAAGGACTAAAGAGACTAATTTTGCTCCCAACTTATATGCTTAGAATAATGTAGTTCAAAGAGTGTATTGTGTAGGAGAAAATGAAACTATATAGATTAAGGAGTAACAGGGAGGATATGAAATTATGGACGAAAATTGGGGCATGCATGCCAAAATGAGAAGGAGCAGGTGTGGAGCTGTGGAATGAATTAGGAAGCAGTAAAAATGATGAGTGTAACAATCAGCATGATGCATGTGGACAAAACCTACAGAAAACATAACTATTTCTCTGATCCCAAAATTTCAAATTTTTCTCTTACAAATTACAATTTTACAGTATTATTGGCAGAAAAGCACTTTCATGCAAGTTTCACAACTGCACTGCAATTAATGAGTATACAGAAAGTATTATGAACCTTTTCTTTCCAGATACCTGCCGATGCACCATGGACTGCGCCCCATGCTGAAGAATGGGATAAAATAACAATGAAAGAACTGATTGACAGACTTTGCTGGACTACGTATGTTTTCTTTAAAATTATCCTGTTTAGATAGTTTACTATATTTCAAGTTCCTTATACACATTCTTCAGTCCAGCTGGGTCCTTGCCCTTTTTCGGACAGAATGGTTGGATGGCCAGACTTTACGCTTGTGCCAACACAGCCTTTGCCAACAATCAAGAGATATGAATTACTGTCCTATATGGAGTATCCAATCTTGACTTTATCCATCTTTACATTGAGATACAGAATCTCCCTGCTTGGCACACCTCAGACTGAGAACTGAGCACAATATTACATTGTGACATTCCAGTCCAAGCAACTCTGATGCTGAATCCCATCACAGTACTAGATAAGGTAAAACTACGTTCTGTATTCGCACAGCCTTGGCTCTCATAGATTTATTGACATTTACAGTATTGTCACAAGCAGTTCCTATTATTTATGGACTTTCTGTTCATTTACCTGATGGGGACCAAATTAATTTAATGAATTTTTACAATTTATTTTGCATTTTACCATTGTTTCCTGTAGATAATTGAAGGTACTTTATTTTATATATAAAATGTTAGTGAATGTTGCTTTTTTAAAGGCTTATTGTTATTGAGGGCATATAATAAGCACAGAGTAAGATGGCTAGTAGATTTAGAAACGTGATTACACAGCAGGGTCAGTCAGATGATGGGTGACTGTCAGGAAAGCCAAGAAAGTAGTTCAAAAATCTATGGTGGCTGTTCCTCTATCAAATAAGTATATTTAGTTTTGTGTACTGTTGAAAGGGATAGTTTCTCTGAGGAAAATGAAAGAGGCAATCAGTTATTGGACACTAGGAATGATTTTTATGTAAGGCAGCATTTGACAAAATTTAAAAGAATAGTTGTTATAGGGGACTCTCCTGTCAGGGACAGAAACAGGAGATTCTGGGCAGTAGCATAAATTTAGGAAGGTCTGTTGCTTTCCTTGTGCTAGGATTCAAATGCTTCAAGCATATTGTTAGAGATTGAGAAGCCGTAAATTATTGTACATGATTCCATGACTATGAATTAGTTTTTAAAAAATGCTTTGGCTTTAACTTTTTTTTTTCAGGTATACAGCATTCTAAACAATTGATTCATGCAACGTGCTATAAGAAGTGAGTTGCTATCTTATAGATGTTCTTGTTCTTTGCTGAAAGTGAGAAAGGTCACCAGCCTGTATGCATGTTAAAAAGCATGCCTTCGAGGGCCCAGAGAATTGGGTGTAGATGCAGAGAAGGTCATTTAAAGAAATGTTCCGTACTTTACTTGGAGGATATTATAGTGACAAGATGGGTCCAGGCTCTGTGGACTGATTTAAAGGTGTGAATAAGGATCTATAAGTGCTGCATGGACTCGGTGTGGATGTATTGTACATGAATTTCCAGAAGGCATTTGTGAAAATACCACATCAAAGGTTAAAAATTGCAGAAAATAAAAGTTCATTTGATCTGTGTAGAATTTTAGTTAGGCCACATTTGGAGAGCACTAACTATAAGGAGATAAGACAAACTTGGTAGCATTTGGCTGATTAACAGGAAGCGGCCATTAGGAATAAACTCAAGTGGTGTGCCATAGGAATGAGTGTTGGGACTTCAACATTTACAATTTGTAGAAATTACTTGGGTGAAGGGATAGAAGGTATAGTTGCTAAATTTATTGATGACACTAAAATAGGTTAGAAAGCAAATTGAAAAGAGGACATAGGAGGCTACAAAAAAGATACTGAAAGGTTATATGACAAAGATGTGTTAAATAGATGACAGGTAAGGAATAGGGAAACTGAAATTTTCCACTTTGGTGGGAAGAATAAAAATAAAGAAACATAAAGTCTAAATGGTGAGAGGTTGCAGAGTTCTGAGATGCAAATGGATCTGATTGCCTCAACGTACGAATTTTAAAAAGTTAGTGCTCACATACAGCAAGTGATAAGGAAAACTAATAGAATGTTATCATTTATTGAGAAGGAAATTGAATACCAAAGTAGGGAGGTTGTGCTTGAGTTATACAGGGCATTGGTAGGTGTACCATGCACAATATTGGTCTCCTTAGGAAAGACATAAATGTATTAGTAGCTGTTCATTAGAAGATCTATCAGTCATATACCTGGAAGGATGGTGTTGTCTTATGAGGAAAGGTTGGACACACCTAGGTTTGTATCCACTGGTGTTTAGGAGAGTAAGAGGTGATTTGATTGTAACACACAAGATCGTGGGGGGGTCTTGACAGGGTAGATGTGGAGATATGTTTTTTTTTATTGTGGAAAAAGCTAGCATTAGGGGTCACTGTTAAAATAAAGAGTTGCCCATTTTAAACAGCGATGAGATGAATTTTTTTTTCACTCCCACTGGCTCATGAGTTTTTGGAGGCTTCTTCCTGAAAAGGTGGTGATAACAGAGGCCTGGATCGTCACAGAACTTGGTCGAGTGTCATTTCAGGGAGAGTTAAGAGAGTTTATCTCTGTGAGCTGTACTATGTTTTCTTGTACAATTTTACACTATTCGTCTCATTAAGCCTGCATCATACTTCTACAGTGCTGCGCTCACACTGTCCTGCACTTATCAGAAGCAGAAGAGCTCAGTGTTGTTGAAACCTTCTGGAGTTCCAGCCACTGTTTAAAGCTCAGTTGTATGACAGATCAAATGCTGCAAGTCATGAATAGCCTTTTACATTTGCAGTGTATGAAGAATTACTCTGTAGATAGCCACGAGGTAAATTGGCACCCTGCTTTGCTGATAGGAAGCTGGAGGTGCTGGTGGATGGGGTAGTGGACAGGACAGCTGTCATCTTTCCTTAGAACCTCAGATTGACATAACATGGTGACATACAGCAACGTTTCCACCCAGTTGACTAATTACTACTGGCAAACATGGCAAACTATCTGGCTTTGTGTATGTGGTAAAAGTCAAGGCAAGATAAAAATACCATGATCGTGTAAGCTCGAGCTTTGGGGTTGAAGGCAAGGCAGGGATGGTGTGAACATCTGAGTAGGTAAAAAGTGAATGAGCATAATGAGACCAGGCGAGAATCCCTGAGATGCAGCCTGATTGCATTCATGAGATCAGGTGTTACTGTGTGAAAAGTGTCCTGCCAGCAGCATTACAAGGAAAGCAGCCAGTACATGCAAAGTACAGCACAGAAGTGCAGAACTGTCTTGAAAGTAGATCTGAGATGTGCTATGATGGTGCAGAGAGGTTGGTGCCCATTGTATCCCAATGTTCATAGAAGAGAGGTGTGTGCAGTCAATGCCCGTAAAGCATGCCCTATGATGTTGGTACCTGGTGTCCAAAGGGAGGACTGGAGGAGCAGGTCATAAAGCCATATAGCACGGAAACAGACCCTTCCAGACCATGCTGACCCTAGTCCAAAATAAACTAATCCCACCTACCTGTGCTTGGCCCATATCCTTTCAAATACTTCTTATTCATGTACTTACCTAAATGACTTTTAAACATTGTAACCGTGCCCACATCCACCACTTCTTCTCGAAGTTCATTCCACACATGAATCCAACCACTGTGACTTTTGTGTCAGGGATTGTCATTGTCTACTTTCTGTCTGTGGGTGAGAGAATGTGAAACTTCAGATCAATGAAGTGAGATTAGAAAATAATGAAATAGGTTGCTCACTGCTCATTAGCAAGAATCTCTTCTTGCAGATCAACACTTGGTTAAAAGATGTGACTTTTTCCTTTTGATGTCGAGAAGCTCCTCACTGACCATTGCATGCAATGTTCATTACTTTCTCGCCGATATCAACGATGTTTAGTGTATAGGCAGATTTCACTCTTGGTGGTGGCTAGGATTTGAGCTCACCGTAAGTTTGAGCCTGTCATTGAGATTACAGTTGGTCTTGTTCACCCAGTAAATTGGGGTGTTAGAGAATTTTGCTGTTAAAGTAATTTGTGAATTGCCAATATTGTTCTTAATAAAGCAAAGGGACAAGATATGTAGCTATCTTTGCAATGTGTTTAGCCCTTCTTGTTAATAACAGGACATATGTTTGTTCTACTTCCATGACCCACTGCACTGTAGAAGCTCTCAAACACAAGTTCATAAAGGTACACTTAAAGCATTCGAATATCTCTGCTTTCACGGTTTTCCACGGCTATTAAATACTTTAACATCTTCTAGAAAATGAGACATAATGTTGTCTGTAAGAGTGTGGACTTAACCAATCAGAACTTCAATTTCATGGAATACTAGTTGGATTTGTCGCATTCTCTTAGCAGATTTGTTGTTGGTTAATTTCAAATATTTTATTGGTCTAACTTTTTGACTATTAATAGTTGAGTTTGCTTAATCTACATAATTCCACAATTGTCCCAAATATCAGCTATTCCGTTTACTGTGAAGGTATGAAGAGTTTTTCCTAGAGAATATCCTTTTAATTTTCAACCTGTAGGGTTGCCAGGCGTTTTGCCACTCTCTTTGTGAATATAAATGTCACCTCTGAACCACATGAAGTCTCTGCTCTCTGGTTCCTGTGGTACGTCAAGCAGTGTGGTGGAACAACACGGATTTTTTCAACAACCAATGGTGGACAGGTGAGCAAACATTTTAAACATTACTTTCCTGACTTGCTTGTTTCAGTACATGTTTGAAAAGATTGATAAGTAAGAATGGAGAAATTTTTCAGCTATTTTTGGATGTGCATTGCTGATGTAGAGTGTGGAAAAGGTGCCTTGCTTCAGTCAGGTGACTTTTCTTCTAACAACTGAAGGATTAATTGTGGTGAATAACTTAACTAAGAATGTCCAGTCGAATATTTTCCCACATGTTCACTAAGGGTGCTTTACTGAAGCAGAGTGAAAAAATAAACAAGTCAGCTTTCTATGGACATGTTCCTTTAAGAAAATGGTGCTTGAGCATGTTTTAACCAAGAAGGAAATTGACTCTATACCAAAGGTTTTGCAAGTTACTTCTGTTTATTGTTCTAAGTAAATGAAGAAAAACATTATTTGTATGTGATTTTGCCTTTGTAATTTTGAAATTATCTAATGGTTACCAATCTTACTCAATAGTTCTGTAGCCATTCTATTTTGTCTTCCTGATCTGGTATGTTTCAGGTTGTAACAGCTCATTTCCCCATTCATTTAACTGTAGGCACCCATAGCATTTGATATTCTTGGTAGTTTGACATTCCTGGAAATTTCTGTATTTGGATAAGTGTCTGCAAGAACTTGGCAAACTGAAACTTTGCTTCTCACATAACTCACAACTGCCACCTGACTATGGTGTATTACATCAGAATACTTATAGGCTACCCATATCCTACCCACTCTAAAAACTGATAAAATAATGTGCTGTCAAACTGTCACATTCAGAGTAAATCATTATCATACTTATTTATAAATGACATAACATCACAAAGATGGAAAGATAAAAATAGCCAGCATCTGCAGTCCTTACTGTCTCCAAAAAGTAAATACAATTTTTAATTGAATTGTACATTTGCACAGCCCAAACTCTGAAAAATCTTTGTGCAAAATTAACTTTTGTATATGCCTGAAAGCCATATTTATATGCTGACAAGGCAATATTTCTGATTGCTGCAGGAATCCTGCTGTAAAATACCATCAGAAGGCTTTGATATAATAAGTGTTAATGTATAGATTCGTTTTTAAAACCAAAGCTTTGCATTTTATTGTGCCTTTCACAAACACTGATTATCTCAAGGTACTTTATAGCCAATGATGTACCTTTGAACTGTTGTCACTCTTGGAATGAGGAAATACAGAATAAATTTAATAAAGGGCAGATCATCTGTATTATGATGTTGATTGAGAGATAAGTAGCAACCAGGCCACCAACCTATCTCTAGTTCAGGATACAATAATGGGATCCTTTGTACCCATCTGAGAGCATTGAATGGCCTCAGTTAAATATTTCATCAGAAAGACAGAACTTGCAGCTTCAAGGAAACCACCCGAAGTACAGCACTATTAGCCTTGATTTTGAAGCTCAAGTCCTGGCATGGGACTTAAAACCAGAATCTGTGACTCAGACATAAGTGAGCTACCAGCTGAGCCACAACTGACACTTGCTTCCAGCTTGCTGATCCTACATGCTAGGACAGTAAATGTCTAGAGGAATAAAAAATTTCTGGACCTGTTCAGGGGTTCAGACTCAGTGTTGCATAAGAAAGTATCATATTTGCTTATAATATTTATGTAAGAGGAATGTAATGTGCTGGAAAAGAGAAGTGGGCAATTTTGATTGAGGAGAGTAAACAGTTTTCAGGAAGATTAGCTTTATGCAAAAAAGAGATT